GCTACTATACAAGAATATTCACAAGTAGATCTGTCTAATATACATTTATCAGAATCTTCAAACAAGAGAGACCGTCGCACTAATCTAGTGAACCTTTTAATTTAGTCAAATATTTATAAAATCAAACAAAACAATTGAAGCAAAAAGGCTATATAGTTATTATGCGTCGATTAAAAATTTGCCGATTCTGATAGACAACATAGTATTTCTGTTTCCATAGGCACAGGCATGGCGTGAACTACTAGTGTGCAATTCTTCAATGTGTGCCAGGTTGGTGGCGCATAAGCCACAAAGTCCAATGTATAACGTGTGAATTTCTAAATCAATACAAATTTACGATCTTTGCCAATACCACAACGATAATAATAATATTAATAAATTAATGTTATTAAAGAGTTAAATTTACAATAATTAAATTTTAAAAGTGTTGAAATCTTGTATACTAAAAAATATTGAAACAGCAGATTATGAAAATAGAATTTGTTGAAATAATGTATTTTTAATTTTTTTTAAACGCAGTAAATAATTAATTTAGTTGATTGTTTGGCCAGATTATGCTCTTTCTTATTGTGCTTCCTTTTCTTTCAACTTGGAATTGTTTGAGGATCAAGGTTTTCTTTACTTGTTTTGCTTTAGTATGTAACTTTTGTCCATTGCTACCACAACTTTTAGAATTATGACATTTAGTAGGTTCAACCTGAACATGGGTCATAGCATTACTTTTAATATGGGTTAGACCTGCATTACTATTGTAAAGAAAAGAAAATAACTATGCAAGTGATATTGCTTTTGATGCATGATACCATCTAGTAAATTGTCCAATGCAATATGAAACTGCGAATCACCATTTTGATAATCATTTCTAATTTTTTTCAGAAAAGCATTAAGTATAGTATTGTTGATTTTCTCATTTATTTGGTTTAATTTACTTTAAAGAATAATATAGTTAACTTTTATATTTACAGTATTTTTAATGTTTATAATTTAAAGTAAATACTGATCTCTGCTCATGATTTGAAGATTCTGATAAATGTATATTAGACAGATCTACTTGTGAATATTCTTGTATAGTAGCAATAGATTCTGTATGCAGTAAGGTGTAAAAAGAATTATTTTTTACAATTTGACTTAATAAATTAATCTAAAATTTATTAGTTATTATATTTATTATATTATTGCCAAAACTATTATATAAATTAATGCCAGAACCATCTTATAAATTCTTACTAGAACTATTGCATGAATCAACACCAGAAATATTGTATAAATTAATACTAGACATATTGTATGAATCAATACAGAAATATTGCATAAATCAACACTAGAAATATTGTATATGTCAATACTAGGAATATTGTATAGACCATTGTTAACACTACCAAAAAAACTATTACTACAGTTATAGCAAGTTTCAAAAAAACTGTTTGCACCATTTAAGCTACTCTATAAAATACTAAAAGATCAACTTTCTTAACTACTACAAAGAAAGCTATCATGTATTTCTAGACTTTCTTTACCACAATCAAAACCAGCTTTAGACAATATTTCTAATTAGTTTTTATCTATAATTTACCAAGATATCAAGAATCTCAATAATAGTAATTCAAATAGAAAAGAAATTTACTATTATTTTTATTATTATTTTTAATTATTTATATAAATTTTTTTATTTGAATATTAAATAATGCATGTTTTTTTAATATAAATAAATAAATAAATAAATAAATAAATAAATAAATAAATAAATAAATAAATAAATAAATAAATATTAAAGTCCTCTAGTAAATGACAATTTTAA